ATTAAAGTACATTCAGATTAAGTTCAACAATAACACATAAAATTGGCAAATAAAGTAAGAACTCGTTGATTAGATTACTTAAAAACAGAACAATAAAAAAACAGAACAATAAAAGTTTTGTTTTATTGTCAGAAAATATTTAAAGAATTGATATTTCAAAGCAGGTGACAGCATTCTTTTAATTTGATCTTGGAATTCTTGATTATATTAATACGATACATAGTTCTGGAAGAAACGTACTCAATTCTGTCCCAAGTTTTGTTTATTAAAGCAGCCCAAACCAATCACATCTCAGAAAACATCATAACAGAAAGATTGTAGAAATGAATCCTTTCTCTTCACACTTCAAAACAAATAAATGAATTTGAACTAATTACATTGAATTCAGAGCAAATGAATCAATTTTAACCAATTAAATTGAATTGAATGAAATAAATTCAGAGCAAATGAATGAATTTGAACAAGATTGTCAGAAATTTCTCGAAAAAAATGGTTAAATAACAATTTATTTAATTGTTATTTTACCATATTCAAACAAAGCAGTCAAATAGCCATAAATAAGGAGGTGTTCAAACTGTTAGCTGTGAGAAAAACCGTTTATTAACTGCTATCACCTAATACAGTAAAACAGTCAGAATTTAATCGCACCAACTAGGCCCACTTAATGAAGCCACTTAGTTCCTTGCAGCTGAGCAGGCTAATCCGCCAATCTTATAACAGATAGAACGAGGGTTCCAGTGCCCAACGTTGACACCACAATATTTCCTCCAAACCCTAGCACGGTTCATTTAATAAAACACAACTCAACCACAACTCCAATGCCCATTACCTAACGAAGAGCCTAGCCTAAACACCCAGTTAATTTTTTTACCCATTACATTTTTCAAAATTACGGTTTTGAAACCATTCTAGTTGTAAATTATTAAAAAAAAACCGTACAGTTTTGTATTCTTTAACCGGCAGCAGTCTGTCCATCCAATTAACCGTAAAATTTACGGTTAATTAAATGGACAGACTGTTACCAGTTATTTTATCGTAATTTTAGAATGGAAACCTTAATAGTGTAATTAAATTAAATTGAATAAATTGAATTCAAAGCAAGTGAATGAATTTGATTCGAGAAACGTACATTGAATTGAATTCTTTATTCTTTTTTCATTCATAAAGTATACAACATAAAACAGGGACTCCCAAAATGTGTGACGCGGTAAAGATGTGCATGACTTCATGTCTAATATTCATCCTTTAATAGTAATATATTGTTATTCAAAAGGAGAAAGTTTCATGGTAGGGTTGATAGTTTTTTTTAACAAATGTAAGAAATGAATACACAGTCTTAAGTGAAAAAGCTATGAGGGCTATTCGCTTTACTACTTCACACCTAGGGGTCTTCAACTATTGATGTTATAAAGAACAAACATCACTGGAAAATTTATATAGAAAAAGAAACAGACAGTAAATAAAAGAGCTAAATTATGCCACTTATACATTTTAGAAACTTTAACGATGTACAACATTACGAGTAGGCTTCTACACTGAGAAAAAAAAAGTATGATCAAAACTACCAGGATATGGCTGAATTTGCCGTTTCTGGCTCTAATGAAATACCAAAAAGCTCGATAATTTTTACCAAAGAGCTTTGGTTACTTAGAATGCGTGCTTAGAAAACCTATCTAATTTCAGCAAGCTTCTTGCTTTTTTATACCTCAAATTTCCGATAGACATGTTTTTTTTTTAACATCAGTATTTTCCGTGTAATGCCAGAAATATAATTGTAAAAATATTCAATACGTAATTTTGATATGCAATAATAGAACTTACAATAAATAAAATAGTTCTGTCACTTGAACAATTTAAATTAATCCATATGCAATTTTTAATGTTTTGCTTCATTTTTTTTCTAGATGTTAAATGTTTTTCATATGTTGCTTTGTATTTTAATTTCTCTTTGTGCTATCTTATGAATTCCTTCATGTATAAATAAAACATAAGTTAGAACTTCATGATCTGCATCAAAATGCATGCATTTTTGAGTTATATATTTATATTATTGTAGATTACGTTCACTTTGCATTATGTCTGAATAACTTTAAATTGCTTTTAATATTCTGAAAAGAAAACTACATTTTGGATACTAAAAGCTCTGTTTTGGAATAAAATTAAGTTACCAAGATATTTTGTAAATAATAACATGTATTGAAAAGTTGCAATTTTATTACTAGCAAAGAAAAGTTAACTTTAAAAAATAAGAAAAGACTTACACTTCAATAAAGGCAACTTAAGTAACAAAAGCTACAAAATATTAACTGTGTGCTCCTTACTGTTTTTTTTTCCTTTTCGTACTGCATGCATACTTTTAAGTTAATATCATTAACCGTAATGTAATACTTATCTTTTTATTTTTATCTGTGGCAGCATTATAGGCATATGAATTCTGAAATCCTCCAATTTTTAGTGTTATTTTAAAACGAATTCGATTTTAAATGACATATGGGTGTCATATTAAAAAAAAATAATAACAGAATTTTGGAAAAACTACCCTCTTCCAAAATGACACAATTCGTTGCTTATAATACATTTCCCACAAATATATCCAATTGACACACAAGTGGGTCAAATTGAAACACATATAAAAATGCTACACAATACCAACTTCTCTTTTATTAATAATAATTAGTTATTAACTGCATACACATACAGAAAAATTTTAAAACAGAAAAACTTTCGACATTTAAGACAGAAAAATTTTTAACGTAGAAAATTTTACTGAAACAGAAGACAGAAAAATTTTCTTTACAACATATGCACTATTCCTGGAAGAATAATTACAAAGCAAAGATAAACTAATAATTAGAAAATTAGAATCAGTTATTAATTAAATTTAGTGGAAATTAGTTATTAAACGCATACAGGAAAATGTTAAAGCAGAAAAATTTTTAATATAGAAAATTTTCCTGTCTTCTGTTTCAGAAAAAACCGTCAACCGACACACTATTTCTGCAAGAATAATTACAAAGCAAGGAATAAACTAGTAATTAGAAAATGCAAATAACTAAATGTTTTAATTCTTTCATCAAACATAAATGCGAAAGCGATTTAAATTATTAATCACTAATGGTCTTCTCAAAATCTAGAATATTCTTAACTTTCTCTTGAGAAATTTAAAAAAAAGGTCCAAGCAACAGGCGATATATTTGTCATTCTACCCACGACATAACCGTTAAAGAACAAGCTAAAACATTTCTACCGCCTTTATCGTCAGCAAAAGCAATAAATCCCCCCCCCCCCTATTTTTTTCCACCAACAAAACTAGATAGCAAAGAGTGAGTTTTGGCGATAGGAGTAATTCCAGGCGAAACAGCGAGGAAAAGATAGTTCAGGATTTTGTCTGCCTGGGGAAGTGATCTTGGGAGTTGATATTTTTATCGCTTTGGCCCAAAATGTATGCATACGAAAAAATGTAATCTTTCGGCATTTGGTGTTCCTGATAACATGGGCCTGCGGGATTTTCGTCTCTCAATTTATCTCGCATTGCTGTTTGGCTGTCTTTTTCACAAAATTGTGACGCGATATACCGCTGGGCCTTGACTTATACCGGGATGGTTCGGAGACGGCAAAGAGAGCATAAATATGCTCCACATCAAAGGTAACAAGGGAAAAAAGTGTGAGACATAAAGATTACTCTTCTAGAATATATCAAAGATGATTACAGAGATAGAGTGTTGGTGGATGAAAGAAAAAACGACCATCACTTAAGTCTCACATATGTGTTATTTTTGGAATTTTATGTAGACTATTTTTAGTTATTATTAAACTGGCGTCAAGGGCCTGATCTAGAAATCCAGGCACTAAATTGCTGGTGGCCACCTGGTCGTAACTTTAAGCCAAACTTACGAGTTGGTTTTTCATGTGGTGCTTTTAAATATTAACATAGCAGGAAACAACACAGTAAAATTTTGATAAAAATGAAGAAAAAAAATATTGCATTTTTCGATATTTTATCCCTTGAAGATTATTGTACCAAAAAATTTAATTAGTTTTCATAAAAATGTGAAGGAGAGCATAATATGATAAACGCAGCGCGCGTTGCTGAACGCTCTGTTACATGAATGAACAGTGTTCCCATACACTATTATGAATTATACATCATGCTGACTGTTGAACCAAATAACTATCGTTCAAATCTGCTGCTACCATAATATGGGGCTAAGTTGAACCAAATTATCGTATTTTTTGAACTTGTGTGAGTTATAAGCATTTTAAGTAGAATTTTCTTTTATTATTATTGCACTGGCGCTTCGTTTAATCGGCTGAATATTGGAATACTCAAGGACGATATTTTTTCTTTAAACCCATTCTTACACTGTTAGATATGTTGAGGTGTTTTGTACCATAAAACGTTGGAGGAAGAAATATAATATGATATATTGTTGATGGAAAAAACGATATTATAAATTATTTCTTTCTGAGTAATTTGTGTAAATTATTTTTAGTTATCGTTAAACTAATTGTTTCATTTCATTATGAGACTCGGGAGTCGATGATAAACGTATTTATAAGATTTAACTTTTCTCCTACACTTTTATAAACTTGACTGTAGAACCATATTATCGTTCAAACCTGCAGCAACTCAAATATGGTGCTAAGTTGAACCAAATTATAGTATTTCTTAAACTTGCTAGCACGATACGGCTATTTATATTCAATGAAAATGAGGTTCAATTTTACACCTTGATTAAGTTGTTGCAAATTTACAATATATTATGGTTCAAGAAACCGAAACTCTTTAACGTTGCACCGTTTTTTTTTTTTTTTTTTAATTTATTTATTTTCTTTTTTGAGACTGTATCTTATAATTTCTGATTTAGACGATTATCCTCTAAACTATGGAGGAAATTTTTTTTTAAAAAAATGGCAAGAATATGGGAAATACGAATAAATAACGATTAACAGCTTAAAGACACTAGTATGAAGTCAGAAGACAGGAAATGAAACAGTAGTCGTAGAAAAGAACTCAACTTTATTCTTTACATAGCATCTACCTATTATTTACTCTGTCCAATAATAAAACTAAACATAGAGAGAAATTATTTGGTAATAAACTCCGATATACGATCAGTCGAAGGACCTGACTAGGCTATAGCTCGTGCGTACATTAAAATCTAAAATTGCAATACAGAATAAAAAAAATAAATAAAAAAAGAAAATATGCCAACCAGCCAACAATAAACACAAAGAAAATTTTTTAAAACAAAATACTCAGAATATTATCACATACCAATGTCCCAACACACTGTGGGTAAAATCCTTTGTGAGGTTTTGTAAAATGTCGCCAGCGTCTAAACGACGCGTTGATTCTTGTCGCCAAACTGTTGACAACGCCAAAATGACGTTTTTACGATTGTCGCCAAAAATTTGCGTAGGCGAAAACATAGAAGATCGTAACCTGAAAATAACAATGTAGGTAAAATACTAGTATCTGTTACATGCTTTGTGAGGTTTTGTAAAATGTCGTTAGCGTCGAAATGTCGTGTTGATTCTTGTCGCCAAACTGTTGATAACGCCAAAATGACGTTTTTACGATTGTCACCTAAAATTTTTCGTAGGCGATGATCGCAACCTGAAAATAACAATGTGGGCAAAATCCTAGTATACGTTACATGCTTTGTGAGGTTTTGTAAAATGTCGTCAGAGTCAAAATGACTCGTTGATTCTTGTCGCCAAACTGTTGACAACGCCCACATGGCGTTTTTACGATTGTCGCCAAAAATTTGCGTAGGCGAAAACATAGATGATGGTAACCTGAAAATGCAAAAATATACCAGGCATAAGTAAACCGGACAGTGGCACTTAACTTTGAAAAAAGCATCAATGTAGGATATGCTGGACAAATGTATACCGAGCATTTACGCTTAACTTAAAAACACATCAGTGCAAAATATATCGCGAAATGGCACAAAAAGAGCAAAACTAAAAAAATTCAACTTACAGCAATGTATAATCACAAAACTATTATTTAACAACGCTAAACAGGCATATGAAAAAAGGTACAATAATAAACACTTTGAAGTTACTTTCATTTAAAACGTATATCTTGTTTCTTTTTTTCAAAATACCTTAAAATTATAACTATCTTTAATCATCGTTTCTTTAATCATCGTATCATAAGTTAAAATATAAAAAAAGTTTAAAAAAATTTAGAAAAGTGATCAGATTTTTTGACTTCTCTATAAATAGATAGATGATCAGGATTTAGTCTGTATTTATCTGGATTTAGTTTGCCTTCCAGTGTTTTCTTTATATTATTTTTAATAATTCTATTTCTTGTTGTGGTGCTATCCCAGTTTTATTTGGCATAATATTTCAATTATAATAAATTCTCATTTTGAACCATAAAGAGTTTTTAAAAAAATTGAAAAAGTAATTTCAAAATAATAACAGTTTTCAGCACTTCCAATATTTTTGGATCTTTTTTTTTTCTTTTCTCACACACTAATAATTCATTAAGAATTTGTTTAAAATCGAACCAAATACTCGTTTATAAACGCTTCTCATTACTTAATAAAACAGCTTTTTTACATACTTTTTCCAATGAAATAACCAAACAGAAATGTAAACATACAAAGAATAAAATTCCCAGTGATTGCGAAAAATTTTGACTCGTGTTTTCAATTCCAGAAAAAAATATTACACTTTAAGAAATAATAATAAGAAAAATTTTAGTCGAACCACGTCAAGAGTCTAACAAAATACGGCTCAGCACGATTTGCATCTCTTTTTCTTTTACGTTTCTTGAAATTTCCATTTTTACTCTCTTGTAAGCGACATATTACCTCTGTATTATACAAAGCCTTTCCATTTATATTTTGTGCAAGAATTTTGTTCCCGGTACTTTTATTCCTTTTTGTCATTCGCTGCTATTTTAATATCCTTATACAGAGGTTCTACTTTCCAATAACACATAAGTACAAGGATACACAAAAAGCGTTATTCTTCTACCCTAAGGTAGTCAAATGTCGGCAATAGAACGGCAAACTCTCGTTTTGGAAGGGAAAAAAATCGTCTGACTTTTTAGATGGGTGAGAAGGGAAAGTGGTTAGATGCTGAATTCAGAGGAAATGAAAGTACAGGCACGTTCTGACTTGTAACTCTTCGAAACTTTTTGGAACACAACAACTTTTATTTTCTTTCTACAAGAGTTGGAGGCTACTAGAAAAAGCAATGTATGGGACTTTGCATTGTATAAGAAATGTCAAAAGCAAAGAAATAAAAACTCGAAACAAATCGAAAATTTAAAAGCGAGAGAAGATTCGAAATTTAATCTTTTTGGAATCTCTCATAGGAGGATGAACTTGTGAAATTACACGTGAAATTGAAGTTTCGAAAGGTTTTGAATCAGAATCAGAAAGGTGAAAATATTAAAAAAATGTTCTTGAAATTTAAACGTATGTAAAAATATTCAATGCCTAGCGTATAATTTTGTTTTCCAGAAAAATATTGTTCTATATCAGTTCTAACAATTACAAAGTGATTGAACATTTTTCGAAATTTTAATTGGCCATCAGAAGAGAAAAAAAAATGGATTTTATATGAAGTTAAAAAGTTTACATAATCTATAAATTCAACTGCTTAAAGCGATCTTAAAATATATTATTGATAACACTGGTTAAGTAACAAATAATTTATTTTGCGTTGATATGTAAAAAAATTAATTATTCTTCTATCCTTCAGTTATCAAATGTTAGCAATAGAACACCAAACTCTAGTTTTAAAAAAATCGTCTGACTTTTTAAATGTCTGAAGCAAAGAATTGAAAACTCGAAACAAAACGAAATTTTAGAAGCGAAAGCAGATTCGAAATTGAATCTTTTTAGAATCTTGGGAAATAGGAGGATAAACTTGCAGAATTATTGATAAATGGCTTTGAAATTTCGTTAGATTTAAGTAAATATCAGTGACGTGGAAAGAGAAAGAGATGTACTTAAAATTTAAGTGCATATAAAACAAAACCTTAATTCACGTAACATAACGAACGTACTTATGCACACGTACACGTAACGTATGTTTAGTTTACATGAAAATTATAGTGTGTGTTAATTTTAAAAATATACTAAGTGACTAAACATTTTTCAGTACTTTGATACATCATAAGAAGAAAAGAAAGAAAATTTTTAACAAACAACAAAACTTACTACAGATATATAAGACACTAGTANTATATATATATATATACATAGAGTTAAATGCTAATTTAAATTGATGAAAGTTATCTTAATATAATATTGAATTAGCAAAGGTTACGTACTCATTAACATTTTCATCTTCACTGTTAGAAATGTCTCGGGGAAAAATGGTTAAATAACAATTTATTTAACTGTTATTTAACTATTATTTTACCTTATTCAAACAAAATAGTCAAATAACCAAAAATAAAATGGTATTTAAACTGTTAACTGTGAGATAAATCATTTATTATCTGCTTTCTCCTAATACGGTTAAGCAACCAAAATTTTATCCCAACAACCAGGCCCACGTAATGAAGCTAGGGACTCTAAGGCATGATCCGTTTACCACTAAGGATATTTTACGACAGTACTGTGGTCAAGGCGAGCTGAGTCAACACCTCCTAGAAAAGAGCAGGCCTCAGCACGGGTTTCCATAAATATCCTTTAGTGGTCCAAACGTAATGGCATATTTCGTATTTCCAACCACTGCGCAGCTTAGCACCCCGAACGTAATGACATCTTTCTTACTTTTCATATACTGCGCAGTTAACTTCGTCACATAGGACTACTAAATTGATCCGTGCTGAGGCCTTCCTACTTCTAGGAGGTGTTGGCTGAGTACGGAAATCATATCGACCAGCCGTTGCTGGGACTCGGACCCGGGTCACCTCATTGGGAGTTCAGAGCCCTATCCCTTGAGCCACAACTACTATAATATATGTTAAACATTATAAATAAAGTAAAATTACTGTAAATAAAGAAATAATAAAATTATTCTACATGCTATTATGAAATATACTTAGGCACATACTTTAAATATATTTAATGAAGTATTTAATTTTCATGTTAATTAAAACAAGGAAAAGAGTCACAATTTCCCTCTCTTGTTTATTTCTAAGTCTACTGACGGCCGTGATAGCCTGGTCGGTAGGGCGCTGGGCCCATGTCCGAGAGTTCGTGGGTTCGAACCCCGTCGGCCGAAAACTACCCGTATAGTAAAGTGACTGATGCACGTTAAATCTGTCGAGTTGTATCCATGCTCCCATAACAAATCAATACCTCTGGGGGTACTGGATTATATATCGATCGTTCTCTGATTCATGTCAAAATTACGATCTGTGGATGAATGAATGACTGTATGAATGGGTCCGCCCTATAAACGGGTGCGACGTATGGTGTGGCAGAAGTCGAATTCTGGGCCATAGATGGCGCCACTGAAAAACAAGAAACGCACACTCTGCCTTAAATTTGCTCGGTTTCACCAAGCAGGCTTGCCAGTGTGGCAAGTGGCATTAGAAACAACAACAAGTCTACTAACAAAAATTTTTTGTGCTTATAAAGTTTTATTTCTACTAATAAAAATTTTTTCACAATAATTCGTAAACCGGACATTATAGTATATCACAACCATTCATATTTCAACTTTTTATGTCATCAGTATTATGAATAGTAGAACTAGATGGATTATCTGTAGTGTAAACTGGAATGATTGCACATTTTCGTTGCAACATATGTAAAACAACCAACAAACCTTAGCACATGCACATTTTAATAATATATATAATATTCCTCCTGATACAGCAAACTAAGTATAAGTACAGGTTAAAAATTAACTAAATAAAATCACTCGCTAATTTAATTTTACTTATTTAAGTTTATGTTGAATTTAAAAAATGTTCCATACAAAAATAAAATCAGCAGAAATTATCAATTAATGTAAATGTCTCTCAAATATCCCTCTCTCATAGTCTCAAATAGTCTTCAGTTATACCCCGTAAAATACTTTTAAGGAGGCAGAAGTCTATGAAACAGAAATGACAAAATGTTGAAAATTACTATTTTGACTAAACCTAGTTAGGGCTTAAGTTCTCATTATGGGTCTTTTTAAAACTAGTCTTAAGTTGGATTATAAAAAACTGGCAAAATAGTTAAAAAAAATGTAATTAAAATAAATTTCAGAAATTATTTCAAAATAATTTTAAAATAAGCTTTAAATATTCTGAAAATCTACTAATTTCAGTTGTATATAAAGTCCTACAAAGGATTCATTCTTGTTTGATTCAGTGTATGCCCTTTTAGTGGTAAATATAATATTATTTATTAGGGAAAAAAGTTATAAGTATACTAAGAGAAAACATATTTTTCTGACAAACTAAGAAAATATTTTAAAAAAAGAAGGGTAATATGAAATACAATATACAATGGACAAAATTAAGAAGCACTCGAAGATCGGATTTCCTCGTAATAGGGCCAATCTTTAAGTTACAAAATCAGACATAAAAACGTTCTGAATAATCATACTTTTTTTCGACGGAATAGAATTTCTTACCCTCAAAATATAGCCGCAATCAGGAAAATATGTCAAAGGTTTGAACCTCTTTTTAATGTTGATTTTACTTCTGCGTATCTCTCCAATCTGGGGAATTTTTTAAACTAATTGAAAAATTTTGCACACAATTATAAAATTCGTTTAAAAATTCCACGCAAAAAATAATTTTTGATAATTGTTTAGTATTTTTTGTAATTCTATTTAGTAATAATTGAAATAAATTTCAACTGTAAAGCATGCAAGTTTTTAAATCCTTTTAAAGAATGTAATTTTATAAAGCAAAATACACAATCGGTCAAACAGCTCCTCAGAAATCAAATTTTAAATATGCAACTACTTTCAAATTCTATCTCTCAGGAACTATTCGACCAATTTCGTTCAAATTTTGTATTTTACCTTATAAGATTACATTCTTTAAAATGGTGTAAAAATTTTTATACCAAACTACTACACACTTTGTCAACTATTTTTAAATAAAATGATAAAAAATAATTAATAATTATTAAATTTTTGCATGAATTTATCTTATAAACTAATTTTAAAACTTTGTGCAAAAATTTTTTGATTTGCTTAAAACATTTAGCGAGATATGGCGAAATACGCGAAAAGTAAAATTAACATTAGGAGTCCTAACTTAGGACTGCTCTCCTATTGGAACCATATTACCCAGATTGCGGCTACCCCTATATTTTGAGGGTAAGAAGCCAAATCAATCGGGAAAAAGGTATGTAAGTGTGTTTTGGTGTCTGATTCGTAACTTAAAATATCGCGTGCACTAATTAATAAGCATATGTGAAGTCACTGCCTGGAACCACTAAAATTTCGTCCCAGTGCGTGAAGATAATCATGAAATCAAACACTATTCAAGGTGAATTTTTTTTTTTTTTTGTGCACTATGTATTTTTAGTTACCTTCAATTTTAGTAAGAAAAATATGCACAGTATATAAGTAACGTATTTTGTATTAGCATTGAAATTTTTTTCAAATGTTTGATTATAATGTTAGGAATAAGGGACAGATGTGACATTTACATGTTCAAGTTAAGCTATTATTTATTTTTATTACCTAAGTTTAATATCTTTAAAACTTGCAATGAACATGCTTCAAAAAGAAAAGAATTCATAAAAAAAATTTTATAAAGACGAGGGATATCACACTACCTGGAGAATGGCCTATTATTCTTTTATCAGAATTTTTGTAAAAAAAATGGCCAATTGTTACTGCTACATTCAGGATATAAAGCTCAGAGACTTATAGACTATTTTGTTTTCGTTGTTGTTATTATTTCTAATGACACTTGGACAAGCCAAGCTAGTCGTTGGCCTTTTGCGAATTAAGTCAAAAAGGTGCCTTTCGTTTGACAAGAGAGCAACACAAGGGTGAAAGTAAGTCTTAGCTCAAAACTCCACGGATAATGGCAACACCACTCACTCGTAAGACCTTCCTAAATTTAGACATATATCTGAAGGGGAAGGAAGGTTTCTCCAATTCCCTACACCCATGGTACTGCTCGGTGACCACCAACCACAGGACTATCAATTCCACAGCACGTATATCGCTCTCGGTAGATCTTTGGGGTCGAGGATCGAATCCCGGCCTCTCTAGACCACGGTCTGATTCTTTGAACACAGGGTTACCATGGTTCAATTTTATTTATTCATATGTTAAATGAAAAGATGTTGGGATGAAAGATCCCTTTTACCATTAATCTTGCTCTTTGTCAAAAGGTATGGATTGTTCAAATCTCAATTCTGGATCATTTTCTCAAGAATTGGTAATCAGATCTATGAATGAGTTGATTCTTGTGAGTAAGTTTGTTTGTTAGTTTAAACTTAGTTAGATTTTTCTTTCTGTTCTGTCGTGTCTTAAAATCAGTAAGCAGTGCTGTAAATATGAAACTCGTGTATTTCTGATAACAAAAAAAATAAAAAATTTATGAAATTTTTCATCAATAAACGAAAATTAGTATGACATGATATTGAAAATTTTAAATATTTGAAGTTTTCGCTGTTAATGCTTTGAACAATTTGAATAGCTGAAAGAATTACTCTTTCTCGTGTATCGAGATTAAGAAATTATCCACCTGGAATTCCATATTTGAAAAAGAAATATTAATAAAAATTAGATTTTTATTTTAATTTCTGCAAAAACAATTTTTTCTCAAGCGCGAGAGAACCTTTTTTAAAAAAAAAATTGGTCTAATTAGTTTTCAACTGAATTCTATTAAAGAAAAACTTATGAAAAATTATGAACACGTAGCAGCTTTATGAACAGTAAATAAGCTTGGAATGAAATAATTCAGAACTATTTAAAACTAAAGTATGTAATTAAAACTCCATTTTAAACACTGCGAATTTTTCAAGAAACCACTTCGTAATTCAATAGCGAAAAAACTTTTTTATTCCAAATCTACAATACTTTAAATAAACTCACGCAAGAAAAAAGATACATTTTATAGTGTTGTAAGAAAATAATTCTTCGAAAGAAATATAATGCCCTTGGAGAAATGATAAATGCCTGCTCGCTTTACTTTTCGCAAAAGTGAACATTTCGAGCGTTTTACGTAGAGTACACACACATACACAAAAAATAAAACTTTTAATATTCTAGAGCATTTTTAAAAATCTTTGTCAGTGAATTTAGGTTCTGTTTTCACGAAATAGATAACAGGAGAAGCGGGTCTTAAATTTAGCAGCACGCAAAAAATGCATAAATTGAGAAATGATTGAAACAGAAAAACACATTTGGCTATGCAAAACAGAACCAAACTAGTTTGCCTTTTTATTTAATATCTGGCTAACATTTA